TATCTGACAGATGATTTTCAGCTCGTTCTTCTCAGGTTCCGGGTTGTGACGTATCTGGAACCGTATGTTTATAGTATCTTTGGAACCGTATGTTTATAGTAAAACGCTGTGCGTTGTCCTTCGAAATTTTCTGCAACTCCTAGTCTGTTATAGGGTCTTATCCTGTTGAGTCCAATTGAGACGTCCCCGGTGTCGCTGCGCCAAATGTGATGTCTGCCTGGTCGTGCTGTTTTCGGCGCCAACTGACGTCACCTCGCCTGTCCAGGTTCGTCCTATTATCCTGGGTCACGGCACGCAACCAAACGTGACGTTCTAACCTTTTGCTGATTCGGATGGGAATCTGGTTAGATTCGGCATCAGCCTTGTCGTTCCCAGCTCGCCTTCAACGTCTGGTTACCGAAGTAACTGTTTTAATTTCTAGTCTAACCTACCCACGTTGTGATTTGATCTTAGGTAGACGAAATCAATCAGTCGCCGGGCCATAATGCAAGTCGGGTCCGAACAAGGGCAATACCGCACAAGTATATGTAAAAGAAAATAAAAATAATAACTCGAAAAGTTCAAATGTGTTAAAAAAGGATAACAATATTTTATATCTGTTTCTGAATACAGGACTGCGTCTTTTCTTCCCAAACCGCTATATGGATTCGTGACACTTTGTGTTTGTTAGGCGAGTCTTAACATCTTAAGTTGTTTGTTCTTTAAGAAACTGGTTCTTGGTGTATCTTCAGGCGATATTCGTAAAACTTGTTTTGGTGGTGTGAGTCTAAGTCGTTCTTCAAAAATAAATTGTTCTTGGTTAGAAGTTGAGGTCGTGATTTGCGTGGAATATTTCAGTCGGGTTTCTGCGAGGCGGCCCAACTCAATCAACTCAGCTGCAACTGCGAACTTAACTCGAACTGCCAACTCAACTGGAACCGCCTTTTCAGCTGCGACTCTGCTTATATGGACGCCGACCAAAACCAGGGGGTGGGCTTGTTGGGGTTTGAGGTTCCTTGATAATTCTAAATCCGCAATCCAGGGTTTTTCTTTTTGGTCAGGAAAATTTATTATTTTCCATTTTTGGAAGTCTTTCGTCCTCCCACCTTCTTCTGTTCTCATATTGGTATCTCACCATACCCTCAGAGGGTGTCAACGGGTTTCCCCTCTCTCTCACAGTGGCATCTCATACCGATCCCTTCAGGGGGTGTCAACAGGCCTCCCCTCCTTCTTCACATGATTACCTTCGCCTGCCGCTCACGCCAGCATTCATCCAATGGGCGCCCAGCAGAGTGGGTGTGTCCAGACTGGCCTCGGTTTAAAAAATCTTGCTCAGAGAAAAAAAAAGTTATTTTCCTTTTTCTTTTCTTCCTTTCTTTCCTTTCTTCTGCCCGACAACAAGTCCTTAGACTCTTATCTTAACCGAATTTTATATGGAATTCGTCGACGAGATGTTCGCCTATTATCAAGTGGGTGGTCAATTGGACGTATCGCACCTTGGTGCCAATTATTCGTTCTGATAAAATAATTTTCCTATCGTGGCCAGCTTCGACACAAAACAGATGTCTTTTCCAAACGACATCTTCGCAGATATCTAATGGTCAATCTTTTGTTTTGTTTTTTAATTCTGCGGTTGGTCCAACAGACATTTTTGTTTTTCGGTCAGCACATGACATATTTAATTTTTATCTCTTTAGAATTCTGCGGGATGTCGCTTGTCCAACTTGAAATTTTTACCATTGCCATGGGCAGATTGGATATATCTTATTCGGTGCGTCGTCATAAATTAAATTAAATCCGACACATCCGCGACCTTACTTTCCTCGCTAATGAGAATAAAACCTTTAGCATTTTTCTTTGTTAAAAAGAATAACATCGCTCAGTGTCCTTTTCGTGATGGCTTCTTATCACCAAAATTTAATTCTCGCCTTTCTTTTTTTTTTCTTCTTTCTTTCTAGTAACCTAAATAGTGTCACATTTGGCCGAGCCCACGGGCTCGGAGATCCCACGTTAAACCGGCCTTGTGCCACATGATGCCCTCGTAGGGGTGTGACTAAATACTGTTCAGTCTGAAGTGAGGTCCGTCCGAAGTCCGTCAGGAGTCAGTCAGTCGAGTCAGAGGCAGTCCGAAACAGAGTCGCGTTCAGGCAAGTACTACTAAACCTGATTGTTCGTACTAACACTTTCTACTTCTCTGTATATATTCCTGTTTGTAATATATCTGTGTTATTCCATATCTGTATTTGAGTTCTTCTTTATTGGTTCTACCTTGGACTATCACCGTGGTACAAGGAACCGGACCATAACAAATATATATCGCAAATAATTAATAGCGAATAAAGCACTTTCTATATATTAATTAGAGTCGCATTTTTAAAGTATTTTTAAAGTATTTTTCAGAAATATGATCAGACTCATTACGGTGAACAATCAATGCATTTAGTGTGATGTTTTGTAAAAGAGCCCTCTTGGGTTCATATAATGCTTTCTTTAAATTCCTAGGTGTTTCTCCTATGTATTGCTCGTGACAATTATTACTGGTGATAGAGTAAATTTCTCCTTCTTTGTCATAGTTTTTTCCCTAAAATTGTTCCTGATATATAAAAATGTATATATCGTTTTTGCCACATATATATATATATATATATATATATATATATATATATATATATATATGACTGATGAAAAGAGAGTTATAATTTAATATGTTCGCTTATTTCAGGATAAATTTCTTCGTCTGTTTATAAATATAAACGCATGCGCAGTTCCAATGTATGTATCACTGAAGTCTCTCAGATAACTTGTTTGAACGCAAAGTCACAAGAAGCGATTAATTTTAATGTCAGTTTATTTTAATCAATACTGATTACGAACGCTTCCTTGACCTTACAGATCGGACAGTGTGTCGAGGAAAATCATTAAGCTTGGTCGACAAAGCTTACACAGTCCGTCAAGCGCGTCACTGTGTAATCGGAAAGTCTCTGGTTTTGCAGTTTTTGTTGCATTTATCAATATTGGCAACGGTGGAAACAGTATTAGTAGTAGTATACGCAGTAGAAGCAATTAATAGCAGTAGAAATTTCATTATTATTAGTTTTAGTTTCATTATCATGTCGCCAAAGATTTTATTTTTGTCTTATATGAGACTGATGCAAAAGTCTGCAGTATTTTCTTGCATTCATATAAATTCTTATCAATCTATTTTCCCGGTTTTTTCAATTCTTCAAATAATATATCGATAATCAAAATTGTGGATACACTGTTCAAAGTTCTTTTGTTCAATTGAATTCGACTGCTTCAGTCATTATCAAAAACTGAGTGTTATCAGTATGGTAGACAACATTTTGTTGGCTATATCCTGGCATTTTTGCGTGGCGCAAGAATTCAAATGAATTCAAATATATGCTTATTGTTTAATTGACTGATACGATAAGTGAAGTCACGTACAAAATGGCTTCACAGAGCATAAGTGCAGCAAAAAATATATAGAATGTTTATACGTATTATTATTACTTTATACGCATATTAAATATTTTATAGGCACTTTAAAATACTCTCGCCTTTAGTGAATGATGTTTTTTATTTCGTATAACAGCTTCGAGTATTTGGACTTTTTTTCTCCTTACAATGAGTGCTATATAGTATTTAATGTTATCTACTAATATTTACATACGTCTAGGATGTCCATTGGGAGACTGTATCTCTAATATCAATAATAATAAAAAATGAATTTCTTACATTGGCCATGTACAAAGCTCACTATCTTGTAGGTTAACTTGTCACTTATCGAAACTCAGTATGTTAGTTATTTGTGATATAATGATCGATATGTGCACGAATTGCACTAAGTTTTGATAAGTGACAGGTTAACCTACGAGATAATGGACTTCATGCATGGCCAATGTAAGAAGTTAATTTTATTATTATTAGTGATATTAGAGATACAGTCTCCAAATGAACATTTTAGACGTATGAAACGGGGATTGGCTAGCCGCCCTGTGCATACTCGGATATACGAGTGGCCAGCCTTTACATTACTATTTACTAGTTACCTCCCTAGCCGAGAAAATGATCTTTTCTATTTCAGTGTCATTATTGCTTTTTCCGTGTTTATATTTAATTAGTGTGTTTAATTGTTCATTTCTGCTTCATCTTTGAGTATCTACAACCATTTGCCACCATAATGCTCATCTTTTTTTTCATCATTTCTATTGTTGACTTTAAGAATTTCCTTTTGTTATTACTATGGGTTAAATAACATGGCAGACCGGGCTCTTTAGCTGTGTTTGACAACTCTTAATTCAAAACCGTATGTAGCCTTGACGAAGCGCAAACTACGAAACAATGGAAAATATTATGGAGTTTACAATTAACTATGGATATACGGATGGTGTAATGGATAACGGCTCGGATTGACGAATCGGAGAGCCGAGTTCGAATTCCAGTCTGCTTCATTACATTCATTTACGCGCAAATAATCTTGGGAAAAGTATGCATTCATTCCCAGTTATGGGCTAAATAGTAGTAATTGTATCTGGAAAAATTGTTGTTATTCTAAAAAGAAATTGTTAATGCAATATTCCTGCGTAGTAAAAAAAAAAGTGTGTTTCGAATGAAAATATGTTTCAGCTTTCAATAGCCCACAAAGGTTGCATGTCAATAAGGTTTAGGAATTTTCTGTCGCAGTACAAGGAATCGATCTTTCTTCCATCAACTTCCAATGTCTCAAAAGTGAAACGAGAAAGATGTGGCTAATATTATGATTGTAAAACGAAGGATGGGAGAGATAAAGTCGCTAGGAAGACTATTTTTACAGGCGTTTCGCTGAAAGTAAATAAAATCTAAAATACATAGTTTCTGAAGACAAGAATGAAAAAGAGGACGACTTTCCACGGCACACAATTTCTGAGATTATCACTTCTTGTTACGTCGATTTCGTCTGCAATGTAACTGCCATAGGGGTTTAATCTGATCACTTTAAACATGTTTATCAGTTTTGATTTAGTTGCATCTCAGTCGGCTTACAGCCATATCACATTGAAACACCGGTACGATCACCGAAGTTAAGCGACGTTGAGCCTGGTCAGTACCTAGATCGGTGACCGACTGGGAATACAAAGTTCTGTAAGCTTGGATGTGCAGGTGGTGTATTAGATAACTGCTCGGAATTGGAAATTAGGGAGCCGAGTTCCAATTACAGTCGGGTCCGTTATATTCACTTACGTGCAAATACCTTTGAGAAAATTTTGAATCCATATCCCAGTCCTTATGGATTATCTAGTAAGACCTGTATCGCTAAACCTTTGTTAACTAAAATGTCTTACAATCTTAAATTATTTTCTGGTTTTAAACAGCCTTCAAAGGTTGATAAGCCGTAAAATAACAGATCAATATAAATTCCAGTCTAATTATTTGATATATTCGGTGTACAAGAGAGAAGGGCGGTTTGTGAGAGGTCGATATGAGAGAGAAACGTAAGAAATTCTTTCAAACGAGTTAATAAACTTTCCCATTAAAACCTAAATAATGAATACACAGAAAAGTTTCTAACAATAGCCCTATTAATTTCGACATTAAGACGACGAAAGTTACGATAAAAAGATACATTTCAAAACAGATTAATCGAAAAGAAAATATGATACCCCGATTGATAAAAATCAAATAAATTCCGTATTACAAATTGTTGGTGCCTAGACAAAAGATTACCTAGAAATGAGCAACTGGCTTATTTAAATGACGCATTGCAACATAAAAGACTATCTCTAGGCAAGAACGTGAATAAGAATTTGAGTATACATTGTATTCCAATATGCCTAACATATAATAAAACCACTAATTATATTCTGAGTAATGTAACAACATGTGATCAATATTTTATGACCCGACTTTTTCAAATAATTCTTATAGAATTTAAAGATGAGATTAGATTAGGTATCAGTACGTCTCTGGACAATATGGAGTTGTGCTCTGGATGTTTCAGTTGAAATGTCTACATTGCTTCTTCCCGTCTCTTCAGTTGCCAGGATGTTGCTGAATACTGTCACGAATTGCATCCGGGCGTCCGACACCGGATTTTTATTCAGGCTTTTCTGTTGACTTCAATCTCGGGGAATGACTGCTAAAAAAACCTCCCCACAGACTGATAGACAAATCTTACAGATGCATGATGACATTTCTTCTTAGCCAATAAAACGGACAATTCTCTGCTTTGCCCACATTTCTTGCTTTGAAATCAGAAGGTTATAACTACTTCATTGTATCCCTTTTCCGCAAAGTATACAGATATATAAAAAAAATTAACTTAGTCTGGCAAAAAGTTATGTGCTTACAAATCATTACTCCCCAGCAGTACTCCTGCTTAGCTGACTGCAACAAATGGCTACACGTAAGGTCACTATCTTTGGATTAACCTGCAGTGATAATATTGAACGAGAGTATACTAATTTCCACCGCCAATTACTTATTCCTAATTACTAAGCTTAGTTTACTTTAGCTCCGGGTTTCCAAAAGTTAGCGGAACCGCCCCGCCTTGTGATGATGAATAAATCAAGGAAATGGTAAGGGAAAAGGGGGGTAGCAGGTGGCTAGAAAAATGGGTGGTTGGTGGTGTAATAGGGTTGTATTAGAACCAAATAATAATGGTTTTCTCTCTTTTATAAATTCTCTGTGACAGCATCAGTCACATACACTTAAGAAACACGCACGCTTTCGAAAGAATAAAATTAGAGTTATCAGAAACACATAATTTTAGTTTAATTTATTGTCCGAAGTTACAAATTCGTAAACACTAGATAATGTAAGCATCAGGAGAGTAAAATCCGGCCAAAAATAAAATCACTCCTTTGAAAATCAGGGAGATGTTAAAAGATTATAGTATGTACAACGGGCGACTCATTTCAGATTACATCTTTCCTCTGCTTGGCGGAGGAAAGTCACTGCTAACGACAAGGAGATACCGACTCTGAAAATGAAATACTGCAAAATCTAGTAAGAGTTGCGACTACTAATTTTACCAAGTCATTTGGAATTTTTTGGATTGTTGTTTCCCCAATATGAAACGCAAGAAAAATTCAAGGTAGACGGTTACTGAATGATGTTGTTGAAAGTAGATGATGGTTGACCAGGAGTTTAAGATCGGGAAAGCATCCTCTCAGGTGTCTATTCCACAAAATAGAGGTCCTCATAAAGGTGCTGATCGAATGGAATTTCCTTCTTACCGGAATACGAACAGAATAAGGATGATTCTATCGTATAACTGATATGATGAGTCTTGACTGTAAACGTTTGAATGGGTAGAACGAATTAATGTAGCTGGTCATATTGCATAATGTTTGATGAAGGAGGAGGAATGGTACAGTATTATGAAATTTAGCTAGGTACAAGCACTGATAGTTTACGCGAATCTGAGTAAAAATATAGCCTATCAGGTACTTCAATTACACATATAAGATCCAATGGATTTTTTTTTGTTTGGTGAGTAGTTGAGAATTGTGATTTATATACCTCAAGTATGCTATACGCATAAGTCATTTACTAAAATAATGCATTGAAAATGGGTTGCTATAGAAGGATAGAAAGGGATTATCAGTGGTCAGGAATTAATGCCACTATATGTGTAATCAATAAGTATAAGTATGAATGTAAATTCAGGTTAATAAATAAGAGAAATCGATTAGAAAAACTGAAATAAAGGTGTTTTGAAAGAAGACGTTAATTGACACAAATAAAAACAAATTCTAACGGAAACCTTAACTATGGAAGCCGGGGGAGGGAAAATTTGAATGCAAGCGTGTAAGGACAAAATGATGGCAGCTTTTCAAAAGTTGCTCTCCGGTTGGGAAGTTGGCAGTCGCGCCTGACCACGTTCGCGAAGACTTGCCAACGCGTTTCCCGCCGGCTCATTGCATCAGCAAGGGTAAGGGGAGATAACCACTTTCATACGAGGGCGCCCTCTACCTACATTTTAGCGTCTTTCTCTTTCTTGCTCCTCCGCCCGCTCCTTGCCATTAACCAAATGGAGAAACATTGGTCAGTTGGCATTGAATCAATTAGCTCCAAACGTTCCCGCTTATTTGGTCGCGTGAAAAATGGGGGAAAGTACGTGGAAAGGAAACAAGTGTAAAAGTAAGAGGATCCTTTTGCTGAATCAGCGATCTTTTATTTTCCGTTGAGCAAGTTTAATGCGACCATTTTATGCCCCTTTTGGTCATATCTTTAAGACACAATTTTTGCCTTGTGGGGAAAGGTGCGTGAGTTGTCTGTCGGAAGCTAAGGTAACACGATATTATACTGTTTTCTTTCGAGATTTGCGCAAAGCCCCAGTTTACTCAATCTCTTAATTAAATAGATCTGTAGTGACCTTCGATCCTGAGACCAGCTCCTGTGGCCTTGTGCCAAGCCAAGTTAAGCTTAGTAACTATAGTGCTTTAACATGGAGTGGGGATTATCAAGCGAGTCTCTCAGACCATTACCACTGTGTTAAGTTCACGACTAGCGAACTACAGTACGCATGCGACCTATCACATTAAAATCAGTTCCCTTACCGTGAATTAGTAGTTATCAAGCTGTAGTGAATTGAATCATGTTTGGGTACACAGGTGTCTGGTTAGCGTGGCGAGTCCGGTTAAGCATAACCACTGAGTAATGTTCGATCCTCACTGGCTTACAAGTTGCATCACATTGAAACACTGGCTCCCGTACGATCACCGAAGTTAAGCAACGTTGAGCCTGGTCAATAGAGTGATGACCGCTTGGGAATACCAGGTGTTGTAAGCTTGGATGTGTAGGTGGTATAATGGATAATGGCTTGGAATTATTAATCGAAGATCCGAATTTCAATTCCCGTTCCGGTCGTTATATTCACTTACATGCAAATACTCTTGGGAAAGATATGAATCCACTTATTCTCCCCCAGCTATGGGTTAATTAGCAAGACTTGTATCACTAAACCATTATTATCTAAAAAAAAAATCTTAAAATCCAAAAATATTTTCTCGCTTTACATAACCTGCAAAAGCCGTAGAAAACGAATTAATAAAATTTAATCGACCCCCCCACAGGGTACCCTGAACAAAATTCAACATTAAATATGTAGTAAAATCAACCAATCACTTGCCTCACTATTGCGGCTTTCTGTCAGACTAAATTAAACTTCGTAAATAACCAGCCATCTTCGTGTAGAAAATAGTTGTTACTAGTTCCAGGGTTTGCTTTTCGAACAGAAATAAAAGCCAGAATTCTAAGTGCTGATTTTTCAAGGCAAGTTTGTCAAATGTCGGAGGCTGAGATAAGCACTACTGATACTTTACTCCAAGACAGTGTCCAGCGACAGTTACTTAGTTTCACTTATTCAGTGAAAAGTTCGTAGCTGTGCATCATTCTGTATGGATCGAACTTACTATAGAAGTAAGTGTATACGCGACTAGTACGCTAGCCACAGGGTTATAACCTTGCGTCGGAAATCTGCTAAGGTATTTTTTATCTTCTTTTCAAAGGATTTTTATAGATAAGGTGTCAGACACGAGGCTCTTGTGTGCATACGTGTGTAAATGGTAAATGATAATGATGAGACTAACAGTGTTGATTGCCACGCCCAAGATGCGGACTACGAATCGCAGATACCAAACAAATGCACGAAATATACATCTGGGAAGGACGGAAAATATGACACCAAAATCCGGACGTGGATAGGTTAGCGAAAGAGGCCTCCCAAAAGCTAAGCAAAGTATTAAGAAACAGGAAAATATCATTACAGAGAAAAGAGTGCTATTTAATATCAGTAATTGCTCGACAATCTCCTCACAGATGAAGACGAGGCATGTGACAACAAAAATGTGGGTCTACAAAAGGATATTGTGAGTACCATGAACTGAACACGTGAATAACGAGGAAGTTTTAAGGAAATTGAAAACAAAAATGATGCTTATATTTAGAATCAGAAAGAGACAGTTGAAATTTCTACGACAAGAGGAAAGAGGATTTGGAGAACTTGACACTCACAACACATAATGAAGGCAAGAGAGAAACAACGTGTAGTCTACCTAACAAGCTTGTGTAAATGGATGGGAATAATGGTGAAAAGACAAGCCTTACTAAGAGCTACAAATGATAGGAAGTTGTGGAGAGCCATGATCGCCCACGTTCTGAAGCAACACGGTACATAGAAGAAGAAGAAGAAGAAGAAGAAGAAGAAGAAGAAGAAGAAGAAAAAGAAGAAAAAGAAGAAGGTGAGATTAGCCGTTTACCTGCAGGAAATATTCATCTTTCATCGACCGAACAGTTAGCGTCACTGTAGGTTGAAATTTATAAAATCTGTCTCTTAAAATAGTTCTTCGGGTTTATGGACTTCTCAAGTTCATTGTCATCGTCGTTTCTAATATCGACGTGAGTTTCCTTCCTAACCTTTTGCTTAAGGTAGTGTGGAAAGTCAACATTTTCATTATACCACTGTTTTCCCTTCTAGTTACATATGGTTTTAGTTGTTGGTGCTTTTAGGAGTCTTTAAATGATGTGGTTTCTGTTATTTGATAAAGATCATTGTAATGTTGTAGTGTCAGTCTAAAGGGTCCTATGAAGGATTTTCTTCTTTATGGCTTACAAGGTTCCTTAAACCATTTATAATCATTACAGCTTGTCTCTACAATGGTTCCTCATTGTCGCGGATCAATACGCTAGTTTGGTTTTCACGGGGGCTCCATTACTGCGGCCGTGAGTCAGACTAAAATATACTTGATAAATGACACTGCATATATCCCTATATAGTAAAATCTAATTTAGATACCAAAGAGAAAAAAAACTTGACAAGCGTTGGAACTGACACAACCCAACTCGATGCAGCTTTGAAAAGCGCCTCGACAAAATGACATCGTCCAAATACACAAAGTAAACAAGTTGGATGAGAACATTCCGATATGAGATTATTAAATATAATAACTGAAATTTATGCACAGCACCTCCCTAAAATCTATTCACCGCATACACATTGAGACGCGCCATCATACACACCCACACACATATACAGCACACAAAACAGAGTCCGAAACTATTTATTTTTGCTCGCAGATCTTGTCAAAATATCATGCAATCTTTTCTATCTATCAATCTCTCTCTCTCTATCTATCTATCTATCTATATATATATATATATATATATATATATATATATATATATATTCAATTGTTATCTGTCTTCCTTATCCTCATACAGCACTTCCTACTCACGTCACATATCTTATTCAGTAATCCTCTACCTTAAGTGGCTCCTACTCCTTGTATTGGGTATATATATATATATATATATATTAAAGACATTTTTATTTTAACGTTCTTTTTATAGATACAAGTATTTAAGTAAATGCTCTGTTTATAATAAACAGTATTAAATAACATTTACCGGCCTTAATGTCAGAGAAATTTTCATAAAAATATTCGTCCTTTGACAGGATTCGAACCTGCATCCTATACGGAACCGTCATTTAATAAATAAATTGTCGGACTTTGTCCATTTCTTAATATATATATATGTGTGTGTGTGTGTGTGTGTGTGTGTGTGTGTGTGTGTGTATATATATGTGTGTGTGTGTGTAGTATATATGTATATATATGTGTGTGTGTGTAGTATATATATGTGTGTGTGTGTGTAGTATATATATATATGTGTGTGTGTGTGTGTGAATTTGGCTGTTAATATATATATATATTGAGTAGACGCTTCGTTTATTTAGTAAACAGTATGCTTATTTATTTTCGTCTACCAGCCTGAATATTCGAGAAGTCTTATTAAAGTAAAATATGCTCTCCCCGGCAGGATGCGAACCTGCGTCCCCGATTGGCAGGCGAAATGATCGTTAGACCCGACATGCTTTTCTTTGTCTCTGCGTCGATGTTCAAACAGAGTACAATAATGCCTTATAAATGCAAATATCAGACTCTCAAAACATTCATATCTGCTCAGTTTCGTATCCTAACATAAACAAAGCAATTCCTAAAGAAGTGATGGATTTTGATTTATTCATCCGACAGATTTTGTTATTTAAACGTTATTTTTAATGGATACCCATATTTGAGTAGAGGCTCCTTTTATTTATTAAACAGTATATTTATTTTCGTTTACCGGCCTGACGAAGACGAAGAAGATGAAGCTATTTAGGTTCATCTAATTATTACTTATGTGTAGCAATCCATTCTTATATAATAGGCATTCAGATAAAATTATGGAAAAATGAAATGAAATAAAAACAAGCATTTTTATGTATAAGCTTAATTTCTCGACATAAGCTCCATTAATATCAAGACACTTCTCGAAGAAAAAGATTCCATCTTAGAAGAACTGGGTGCCCTGTGAATTTAACCATGTCAAAGCAGCCTTTTTTTTTTCTTTTGCATAATTAATTGTCTCAAGACGGATAACTTTCAAAAACGTTTTTACAGTTCGGAAATTTAATGTTAAGAACTAAATCAGGATTATAAAGAGGATGTCTAATGATTGCGCATTTAAATTGTCGTAATAATTCCCCTTGCTTGATAAGAGGAATAGGCAGAGGAATTGTCGTAGTGGAAAAATGATCTTCTGATAAAGTTTCCACGGCATGGCGATTTCCTTTTTGAACACATTTTCAGCTAATTTTCTTGAAACACTTTCATAATAAACAGATCTTACCGTCTTGTTCCTTTTGAAAAGTCAATTAGCAAATGAAATCAATGAGCTCTCGATATCCGTAAAAACTGTTACCGGAATCTGTCCTTCAGTCCAATTTGTTTTTACTTTGGCTGAACTCTTTCTACCCTTGAGTGGCAATTGTTTTCGCTCAGCTTTGTCTTCAGGGTCGTACTGGTAAAAACAAGCTTCAGCTCCTGTTACAATTCGCCTTGGAAACCCTTATATTTCTAGTTTCAGTGTATCAAACAAAAGCCACATTTTTCTACTCTAACAATATTTCTACATTAAAATCCTGGTTATTTTTCTATTTGGCTCATGAGGCCCATTGTTTGCTGGAGTTCGCATTCATTTGCATCTGCTCTAATGATTGATTTACTGAAGTTCTCCGGCATTTCACCGCTGTCGTATTTATATATTCGATAACCTTTCGTATTTATACATTCGGTAACAGTCTTATGATATTGTAGATTATAAAAATTTACTTGATTCACGGAAAGGTAAATATTGCTCGTTTACATGTGAGTATGTAAGCACTTACTTGGTCCGGGAATAGGTAAATATTAGTCGTTTATATTTGAGTCTGTAAATATTTACTTGGTAGGAAGCTTCTTTTCGTGAAGCTTTACATCTCTACAGGGAATAGAGTTGGCGTAACCTACGCCCAGATGACAGTCATATCAAGAAGAACCTTCGAATAAACCTATAAAGTTCTGAGATGTTCTTAAAATAAACGAAAATAAACCGATTTTCGAATTATTTATTAGCAAATATTGGCTAATTCGACATTTTATATATAAGATCGACAGTTGCACAACATATGATCATCATATCATCTATCATAATCAGTGCGCAGGCCTAAGACAGACGCTAAGAAACAAGCCAGCTTAATGAGTTTATCTTCAATTTCCACTCTCAATAAAATGGCCCTGTGCCAAACTAAGCCAATCTTCGTGAATACTTGCATAAGAGATGCAAATAAGAGTTTATTCAAAGATAAATATAATTATTCTAGTTTAAAGTCAGTACTCCGAATATTTGTTTCCTAGATATTGCACATATAGCTGTTGTAATTACACTTCAACTTTGTCATATATATATATATATATATATATATAT